TGGAATTATGCACAGTTGTTACCTGCCATAGGGTGCTGAGAATCAAACCCAGGTCTTCTGTAAGAGCAACCAGTGCTCTTAACTACCGAGCCATCTCTCCAGCCCCAACATTTCCCATCTTAATTCCCTACTTTCTCAGGGTTATAAATTGCTTACCTAGTAACAAAATACATTCTCCCATAATTTTTGAGGGTTCCCTGTCATATATTTTAGGGCTTCCTTTTTAGTTCAGTAAGATTCTTAGAATGCAGTGGACCCTCTGGGGATCAGGGCATGACTTCTGGAACATGATTCTATCCTACTTCTTCTACCTCTGATACTTCTTCCTTAGTCTCTGGCTGATTCCTTCACAATTCTCCAATCTCAGTGGCAGGCCTCTTTTCCATCTGCACTCTCTCCCTGGTAAGCTCACCTATGTCTTTAAGTATGACATCTATGTGGATAGCATCCAAATTTCTAACTGTGGTCTACCCTTTCTCCTGAATTCACATATCCAGTTTCCTCCTCAGTGTCCTCACTCAGGTGCCTAGTAGGCATATTAAACTTACTATGTCTGTGCTGGTTAGTCTTAATTGTCAATTTGTCATAATCTAGAATCACCTGGGAAGAGAATCTCAATGAGGGATAGTCTAGATCAGGTTGGCCTGTGGGCATGTCTGTGGAGGATTGTCTAGACTTTTAATTGAAGTGGGAAGACCCACCCATTTTGGGTAGCACCATTCCCTGGGACCCCTTTAATCTCAGGACTTGGGAGGCAGAGGCAAGTGGATCTCTGTGAGTTCAAGGCCAGCCTGGTCTACATAGTGAGTTCCAGGCGATCTGGGGCTACAGGGAGACCCTGTCTCAAAAAGACCAAAAAAATTTATTGATTGATTTTTATTTTATGTGTATGAGTGTTTTTCCTGCATGTATGTAGGCACACCCATGTGTACAATACCTGTGGGGCATTGGATCCCCTGGAACTGGAGTTAAGGACAGTTGTTAGCCATATGGGTGCTGGGAACCAAACCTGGGTCCTCTGCAAGAGCAATCAGTGCTCTTAACCACTGAGCCATCTCTCCAGCCCTGATTTTTTTTCTTAGTATTTATCTCCTCTTATGTTTATTTCACTTATGATATTTTTTATTGTCTGCCTCTCCCAATAGAATATAAACTGCAAAAAAATTTAATCTGTTTTGTTCACTGCTCCACCTATCCCAAATATACTGCTTAATAATTTTGTGTCAGAAGTGCTGACCTTGGAGGAATTTGAATTTCTGCAGGTGATTCTTTTATAATTTTTTTACATGAAGTTTTGTCTTATTTAACCCTTTGATAGAAAAGACAGCACATTTCTTTTACATTTCCCACATAGGTCAGCTTGGGCTACATAGTGAGTTCCAGGTCAACCTAGGCTACAGAGTTAGACCCTGTTTTCAAAAAACAAAATAATAATAATAATAATTCTGTGTCAAATGTATGGATCAGAATAAAACTGAAACTGGACATGATAGTAAATGCCTGTAATAATAGCATTTGTGAGGCTGAGACAGGAGGATCATGAGTTCAAGGCCAGCCATGCCTATATATTGAGTTCCAAGCCAGCCTGAGCTATACAACAATACCTTGTCTCTAAAAGATTAATTAATTTAAAAATTTTAAAAGACTATGTCTAGAGCTTTATAATAGTGAACAGATAGATAACACAACTTGGATATGAATTGTGTCATCACCTAAGTCTACCTTCACACAGATTTTTGTAAGCACCCACATGACAGAATTATCCTATTCTATTTTGCTTTTGTTTGGTTTTTGCAAGAAAATTATAAGGATTTTATACTTTTGTGTTTTTCTCATGGCTTTCCTTTCATCATATTGTGTAGATTTTAAATAATAGCTAATTATGTGCTAAATCTCTCAAGGATTTGTCCAGTTGCTTGGTCACAACTCATAACTGGATAAGAAATAGGAATCACTGGAGCTGCACAGAAATCCTTTAAGCTATAGTAAAAAGATTGTATCTTTTGAGTATGTGCAGTGCTAGGGCTTGAACCCAGGGCCTTGTACACATGAGGCAAGTGCTCCATCACTGAGCTACATCTCCTGCCCCCAAAGATTGTATTTTATCCTGAAAGAAATAAGAAACTTTTGAGGAGTTTCAATGATATGATATTTGCATATCAGAAAAGACCCTGGAATAGGATTACAAAATGGAATAGACAAAATGAAGCCTAACAACTGTCTGTAACTCCAGTTCCAGGGGATCTGACAGCCTCTTCTGCCCTCCACGGGCATTGCACAACATGGGTACACTTACATACATGCAGGCAATATATGTATACACATAATAAAAATAAATAAAATTTTAAAATAAAATAAAATGAAAGAAAAGCAGATTGGGGGAACTGAGAAAAATAATAAGTTAGCTCAAGTTGTTGAGTTTCAAATGTTTAAGAAGCATCCCTAAGGAGATGTGCATTGGGGAAGTGACATAAAGGTCTGGAGTTTAGAAATAAGATCTGAATACTCAGCATAAACAGGACAGTGAAGCAATGGGCACTGAGTCTGGTACAGAGAAGGGGCTGAGAGGGACCTCACTGATATTTAAAACTAGTGAAAGAGAGTGCCAGAAGAGAACAGGGAAGGAGCTATTAGAGAGATAGCTAGAGTTTGAAAGATCTAAGTTAAATAGTATGAGGAGGGTTTTGAGCAGGAGAAAATGGCTGACTGGCAGGTGCTAAAGAGAGGTTAAATACAAGGACAGAAGTTGCTGTGAGTGTGCCATTTATGACTTTTTTGAGACTAATTTCAGTGAGAATCAGGGGAAGATACCAGATGGTAGTTGTGTGAAGAGGTAGGAACTGAGGGCAGGCCAATGCAAGAAGCCTGGCTGTGAAAGGGAGTAACTGGAGAAGAAGAGGTCAAGGAATGTATTCCAGACCTTTTTTCCATCACCCACTCCTAGCACACTGCCCTGATCCTCTCTTGCTCTTAGCAAAGTATTCCTACTTAAAAAAAAAAAGCTAGCAGAAAGGATGGGTTCCTTAGTAAGGAAAGGCCCCTTATCTACAGAAGTGACACATTTATAACTCTCAAAAGACTGTATAGTCTGCTTTGCACCTCAGGTTCTCAGATCTGCCTCATTTCTCCTAAAGGCCTTCTGATCTTACCTTGAAATCTCATCCTTATTCTGGTGTGGCAGCCTGTACCTATAATCCCAGCACTTGAGAGGTAGAGCCAGGAAGATCAGGAGTTCGAGGTTATCCTTAGCAACATAGCAAATTTGAAGTTTGCCTCACCTTAGACCCTATTTTAAAAAACAAAACAAAAAACAACATTTCTCCTTAATAATCTGAGGATGGCAGGAGAGAAGAATCCCACAATCTTCTTTCAGAACCCGGGCTTTATGTCATTTATTTTTTTTCCTTTATTTAGTCACTATGTCTTGAGCACTTACCCCACCCTCAGCTGAATACTAGGAATAGCCCACTGGAAGGACAGTCCCTGCTCTCCAGTGTCTCACAGTCCATTTGAGGGACACTGAGAAGCAGTGGCCTCTCTACTGTAGAAGAGGCCACAATCACAAAACCAGATGAGAGGCATCGTTAGTGAGGGATGCAAGAGAACAGAGGGGAGGCCTATAACTCTGCAGTAAGAGCCAGGAAGGCTTTCCCTAGACATCCACGTGTACAGTGAAAATAATACAGTGGGGACCCCCTCCTTCCCTGCTCACTGGTCATCTGGCTCACTCCTTCATGTTCATAAGGCTGTTAAGTCTCTGACAGCTCTTATAGCTTCATTAATCTATCCTTCTATCATCTTACATAGCCCAGGTCCTTGTAGGTATATAGATGAAGATCAAATATGCTCAAATGAATTAATGTATACTAAAATCAGAAGGTCTAGAGTGATTTAATTATAGTTGAGCATTCTAAATAATGTTTTAGTAAGTGCTTGTTATGTTAGTTTCTATAATGACCAATATTTAATCCTTACAAAAACCCTACTCCATATTGTATAGCTACTATTATCAACTGCTTATGATAACTTACAGCACCATATTATTGCAAAGATAAGTGAATTATCTCAGGTAACACAGCTAATACGTGTCAAGATTTGAACCCAGAAAGTTCAAATCCATAGCTAGGATTTGGTCTTTGTGGAACACTACCTCTAGTACCTAACAGAATCTTTCTAGAAACTTAAGTTGATAATATTTTTTCAGCCTGCAAATTTCTGAACCATTCCATATTTTAAAATTAGACTGGGGATGTAGCTCAGCTGGTAGAATGCTTGTCTAGCATGCACAAAACCCTGGGTTTAATCCTCAGCACCAGGCTTGGTGGTGCACTCCTATAATCCCAGCACTAAGGAGATAGCAACAGGAGGATCAAATGTTCAAGGTTATCCTTTGCTACGTATTGAATTCAAAGTCAACCTGGGATACATGAGACCCTTTAAAAGGAAAAGTAAAATTAAACTTACCCAACTTCAGGCTCCTTAGCTTTGTATCTATATTATGTGACTACTGTTTCTGTGTCTGTCACATTCTGGTTTGTCATATGGTCTATGACTTACTCTCATATAACATTAGAGATCTCTTGGGTACAGAGACTGTATTTTCATAACACACTGGCACAAAGCTTGCATTTTCATTGCTCCTCAATACATTTTTGCAAAAATAAATTCACTGTTGTGTCATTATCATGGCAAAGGCTTTCCCTCCCCTCCCCCCATGATCAGGATCTCCTCTGCTGTAATCATCTCAGCCCTCAGTTTTGTTTGAGGAAGGATTAACTTAGTAAGGACCAAGGGAAGAGAAGAATAATTAGTATTGCTAAATCTGTGTGGACCCTTTCCACACGTTCTCATCTAACTGTCACAGTATCCTTGTTGGGCAAGTGGGGTATCCAAATTTGAGAGATGGGGAAATGGCTGTTTAAGGATTGCTTGTCTATGAACTGTGGAGCTGGAACTAGAGTGCCAGTCTCTCATACAGCTTCTTTCTGTTCACTTCTTAGATGGCTGATTCTGACCCTGGGGAAAGAAACTATGATAACATGCTAAAAATGCTGTCTGACCTGAATAAGGACCTGGAAAAGCTATTGGAAGTGATGGAAAAAATCTCAGGTAGGATGTTTTCCTAGGCAGGGTGTCTTTCTTTCCATTCTTTCTAGTAGCTCCAGTAATCCATAAACTTATGAACTCATTATCAAGCACCTTTTGTAACAAAACCTTCCCTGACCTTTCAACTTTTTTTTTGGAGACTGGGTCTCTAACTTGCTATGTAGACTGGCCTCAAACTCAGAGATCTGCCTGCCTCTGCCTCCCAAGTACTTGGATTAAAGGTATGTGCCACCATGCCTGGCTTTGACCTTTCATCTTTTATAGAATGCAACCATTGCACCACAAAATTTGACAGTTACACAAATTGTCTTCAAATTATTTTGTGATTATTGTTCATGTGTTTACATCTAATTCCTACCATTGGACTGTTATCCTCTTGAACACAGAAATAAAGACAGGTAGTTGGCACAGAACCAGATACAAGTTCACATGCTTAGCAAATGACAAGCACAGGTGAGTATGACAGTTGTGAACAGAACTAGAACTTTCTGTGATCACTTAAACAGAAAAGGTCAGAATGATTGTGATAAGACTGTAATTCTGAAATGGGAGGCATATCATGGTGGAATAAATAGTAATAAGGATGGGTAGACTTCTTCATTCTTGGGAGGAATATATCTATTCAGCATGTTTCCACAAAGCAATAGTAGCAACATTATTTATTTTATATGGTCTTAATTCAAAATATATATAAATCTTATAATTTGTGAGCCCAAGTTTTACTAGAGAAAATAATGATGTAAAACAAACTTTACAGAGCACATATACTGGGGTTGGGGATTTAGCTCAGTGGTAGAGCGCTTGCCTAGCAAGTGCAAGGCCCTGGGTTCAGTGCTCAGCTCCAAAAAAAAAAAAAAGCAAGGCAACAGAGCACATGTTCTTTATTTGGGGCTGGCTCAGTGGGTAAAAGCACTTGCCACCAAGCCTGAAAACCAAAGCTCAATCCCTGAAACCCACATGGTAGAAGGAGAGAACCAACTTCTGGAAGTTACCCTCTAGGCCTCCACACATGTATTGTGGCATATGGGCATGTGCTGTCATGCACACATACAATTTTTAAAAATTCAAGGACATTAGTCATAGCAGAAAATTTCTACTTAAAAATGTTTACAATTTTTTGTCTATATATTTGCACATATATTAAAGTTTTTAATATATTTTAACTACCCTTTTCTAGGAGTTCTGTAATTCACTTTCCATTAGAAACTATATAACTCCTTCAAACTGAGACTTGTAGCACATGCCTATAATCTCAGCACTCAGGAGGCAGAGGCAGGAGGATCTCTCACAAGTCTGAAGTCAGCCTGCTCTGTATAGTGAGTTCCAGGCCAGCCAGGCCTACGTAGTGAAGCCTTGTCTTTTTAAAAGATAATGAACCAAGGAGCTAGAGAGATGGCTTAGCAGTTAAGAGCACTTACTGTTCTTACAGAGAACCCAAGTTCAGTTCCCAGTACTCATAGCTACCTGTAACTCTAGTTTCAGGGATCCAACATCCTCTTCTGGCCTCTGCAGGCTCCTGCATTCACTTGTACACATAAACTCATACAGGCACACACACATACACATAAATAAAAATTTTAAAAGCAAATACAAATTCTATATAACGCCAATCTAGTTATATGTTCTCTTGTTTAATAAGACTTACTCAGTATCTATCATGTACCATTCTAAGAACAAACTGAATAGCGATATTCCTTCCTTGGAAGTTTGTGAGAGCCAGGAATAGATATCAACATGACTAGTTATAATTTAAATATATAAATTAAATGAAGACACATATACATTTTATATTAAAACTATAAAATGGCTAACACTAATAATGTTATATGGTTAGTGCTGGGGAGGGTTCCAAGAAGGAGGAGAACTGCCTTGAGACCCAGTGAGTCTTTAAGGAAAGCCTTAGAGAAGGTGTTGTGGGATGGACAGGGTGATGGGTCAGCTAAGGAAAGTGTCGGGGTCATTAAGGAATGAGACTAGTACATGGGATTCTCGAGCTGTCCAGCCAGAGAAAGGTAAGACTGGGAAGGCAGGAAGCTAGAGCCAAACAAGGGATGTTGCCTCTCTCCTCTAGGCAAAGCAGCTCTTCGAGATTTCATTTAGAAAAATTCCTGTGGAGACAAGAGGGAGGGCTGAAGGGCTGGAACTAGAGGCAGGAAGATGAATTCAGAAGCTTTTGCAGAATTAAGTCTAAAAGGGAGCAAGACTTAACTCAGGATGACACTGACAAAAAGTAGGGAATCACTTTTTGTGATATAATCTCTCATTGATTTGTATGAATTCTTTATTATTAAGATTATAAGCACACTGGGGCTGCAACGGTTAAGAGCACTCACTACTTACTCTTGCAGAGGACCCAGGTTCAGTTCCCAGTAACCATAGAGTGGTTAACAACCATCCTTAACTCCAGTTCCAGGTGATCTGACTCCCTCTTCTGGCCTGCATGAGCACTGCACAGATGTGGTACACTTACATACAAGCAAAACACTCATACACGTAAAATAAAAATAAACAAATAAAATACTACCCCCCCCAAAAGACTATAAACACAGGCCGGCATGGTGGAACAAGCTGTAGCTTTAGCACTTAGGAAACTGAAGCAGGAGGATGGCAAGTTTAAGGTTAACTTGCTCTACAAAGTGAGTTCCTGTCTAAGAAAAAAAAGAGAAAGGAAGGGAAGGGAAAAGGAAAGGGGAAGAGAAGGGAGGGGAGGGGAGAGGAGGGGAGAGACAGGAAGATGGGGAGGGAAGGGAGGGGAGGGGAGAGACGGGAAGAAGAGGAGGGAAGAGAAGGGGAGGGGAAGAGGGGAGGGGAGGGGAAGATGGGAGGGGAGGGGAGGAGGGGGGAGGAGAGGGGAGAGGAGCCGAGGGAAGAGGAGGGGAGGGGAGAGATGGGAAGAAGGGGAGGGAAGGGAAGGGCTTAAATAAAACAGAGCACATGAAGTTGGGAGGGAAAAGTGTGGGGAGTGATGGGGAGAGACTGAATATTTGATCAAAGTACATAATATGCATGTATGAAACTCTCAAAACAAAAGAGAAAAAAGAAAAATTTGTGGATACTTCCTAAGATGGTATCAATAAGAGAAAAAAAAATGTTGGAGGGGAGTTGGCCTTGAAGTCACATGTAGCCAAGGATGACCTTGAACTCCTGCTCCTCCCTCTACCTCCTGAGTGCTAAGATTACAAAGGTGAGCCATAGTGTGAAGCTTTTTTTTTTTTTTTTTTTTTTTTTTTTTTTTTAAAAAAAAAAAAAACCCCAGCTGTCCTGGAACTCACTATGTAGACCAGGCTGGCCCTGAACTCATGCTGGGATTAAAGGCATGTGCCACCAGGCCAGGCCCCATAGTGTGCAGCTTTATGTGGTGCTGCAAATCAAACCCAGGGCCTTGTACATGTCAGTTAAGTCTTCTACCATCTGAGTTACATCCCCAGTCCCAAGACTACAGCATTTGTTCAAATTTTAGTACATATTTTCCCCAACTTGTTTTTCCCTTTTGTGTATGAGGCATTAATCTATATAAGACAGAAGTCTTTTATAGGAAAATCTATCTATATTTTCTTTTCTGATTTATGGCAATTTCTTTGACCCCTCTAAAGTTTGTCCTTAAACCTAGATTGGTGAAATCTTTACTTATATATTCTCCACTTTACTCCGTGGTTACTTTTCATCATTGAGTTCTACTCAATCTTGTATACTAAGGACCTGGGCTACATACTGCGTTTCTCTACAAATACACTGTGGATTTTCTTTTTGGCAAACATTCCAACAATAATTAAGGTAATAGTTAAATAAGTTATCAAGTTAACAACTGTTAATAATGTTAATATGTCTAGGATAATAGTGTTATAAAAATGCCCTCTTGGTTCAGAGATAGCTGTGTATAGTGAACCAGGTAGCACAGACTCAGTTTAATGTTTATACGTGCGTGTGTGTATTTGTGTGTGTGTGTGTTGGTACAAGTGTAGACTCAGTTTTGACCATCTTTTTTTTTTAAGGAGAGAGAATATAGATTTATAAAGGAAAAAATTAGCATTTTTACCACCTTTTAAGCTTATTTTTTGAACAGACATGCTATATGTGTCTGTGATTTCAGGGCTCAAGAGGCTGAGGTGGGAGAATGGTAAATTCGAAGCCAGTCTGTACTACATAGCAAGAAAGGGTGGGTTGTTATTGTTTCTGGGTTTCTTTTTGAGACAGTATCTCACTATATAGCCTATGTTAACCTCAAGTTCTGAATCTTCCTGCCTCAGCCTCTTTTTTAAAAAAGTCTTTTAAAGTAAGTTTAAAGTTGTCTGATATTGAATATAAACAGCTATAATTCTTGAAGGGTTTCTATTGTTTCTCATAGGAATCAAATAAGTTTAGCTGGCATCTGCTTGGCCAGAATGGCTTGCACTGTGCACAGGGGCCCACTTCACATTCCTTGAACTCAACTCAGGTTCATTATTTCCCTTTCACTGGATTCTTTCCTTATTTTTCAGATTAAAGTTTTCTTTAGCAATTTATCACCTCTTGAAAGTATGTTATCACTATATAAACAACCACAGATTAAATACTACTTTACAACTTTTAATAATTAATTTTTAAATTTTCTTAATTGATAAAAGTTTGGGGCCCAAAGACTCAAATCCAATGGTCCAAACATTGAACCAGTTTTGTTGCTGAAATGTAAGCAGTAGAACAGTTTCTTCACAATGTCCCTAGAAAAAGTTAGGACCATTATTGTTAACATAGTTGGATAATATTGGACCGGGCTAAAATAATTTTTTTAGTTGTTTTCTTTTGGTTTTTCATTAATCAATTTTTATTTTATGCTTATGAATATTTTGCCTGCATGTATATAAAGGTACTCGCATCATGCGATGCCTGCAGAGGCCAGAAGAAGGTGTCGGATCCCCTGGAAATGGAGTTACAGACTGTTGTTACCTACCACGTGGTACTGGGAACCCAGCCTGGGTCCTCTGCAAGAGCATCCCGTGCTCTTAACCACTGAACCAACTCTCCAG